AATAGAAAACTGGATAATCATTTGATATCAATTTCTATCCTTATATTTTCGTTTTACGCTACGAGTGCATACAATAACATGTCTAATATAGAAGTGGGCTGACCTCGGTTTCGTAACTTGGGCATTATGTTGATTAACATAGTAGAGGACTTTGCTGCACCCAATTAAGTTGCCATGACAACACGACCAAGTTGCAAAAGCTAGGTCAATCCACGTCTATACATGGAAAGGAGACTAGGGAACATAGCCAAAGCCACATCATCTTGAATGGTCTAGCTGAGTTGATATTGTCTTCACGCTCTTGCAAGAATTATTCTTTTTTTCCTTGTAGAATGAGGATATAAGCGTCTGCCGTAATTTTCTCTGCATCATGCATTTTCGTACAAAATGAATGGCCCCACAACAGCTAACATTCAGATGCCAAGAGTAACAGGGTCTCGATGAATCTGCTGAGATGACATTGTTGGGAAGGCATTCAGCAGAAAACGATCTTCACACCGACAAGACACAAGAGGACATTTCGGCCGGTTTGATTGTTTGTGAACCAGTGGGCTTGAGCATGAGGGGTTGAGTCGAACAGTGCTCGAACTGTCGCAATGGTGCATGTATGGAAGGCGGAATCGAGACGGTCGCCATCGCGATAGATCCACTTTTCGACCATTACTCAGACGAGTGTTGGTTACGCAGTCATTTCCCTCTCACAGGCGATGGGCGGAGGGCATGAAACGGGCCGAAAAAGTGCGCCTTCCAAGCACACGGGCCCTTGCAACAGCTGGAATAACACGACCTCTGACCTGTCGACAGGTTGCCGTGATTTCTACTCCCTTTCCCGCATGCCCATCTCTTGTCGGTACCCAACCTCTTCCGCCCGCGTTGGCACCACTTCTGCTCAATCCGGGCAGATCAACAGATATCGGCAAAGGAGGCAGGAGCAACGGGCAGCCGACTTGTCTAAGCCGTGCCACCTTCTGTGTCCTCTTCTGAAGAGCCCCGGTTGTCCAGATTAAGCCCGAGTCCCCTTCGTACGGGGCCTGCAAAACACGCCCATCTCCCGACGACCCTGCACGCCCTCGAGAAAAGGCAACAAGTAGTTACTTGACGAAGAGCGAATTTCCCCCCAAAAAAGATGCTAAAGCTCTATCAAGTGGTGTACATATGGGACAATAAGGCGTTGTTCACTTTTGAAAGGCCACATCGCGCCCACGGGTGCGAGTGTGTGAAAGAAGGGGCTGATGATGATGACGAGTATGATGGCGTTAGTGGGGCTAACGAGGCGGGCGGAGTGGGCGGCCAAGCCCAGGCGGATACGAGTGGCGTGCCCAACTGGAATTGGGCTCGCAGCCTCTCAGTGAGCGGTTGCAGGGGGCCGAGAGCAACTGGCCAACCGGTTGTGTGTCTTCTCCAAGAGACGATTACACGCACACATACACTCGGAAGAGAGGACGTCCGAATAGCCCCAAACGAAGAGAGGAAATGACGT